CTCGTGAGTTTGAAACGTCTATCGCTTTAAAGTTTCAATTTTTAGTTTTGAGTTTGATAAACCGAAAGGCGTTCGATGGGGTTTGGAGTTTTCTAACCCTAACTAACGACATTCAAGTAAACATGTAAACGAAATGGTAAAGAGAGAGGGAGAGAGAGAGAGAGATTTTGGGTCCAAACTCGGGTTTTGTTCGCCTTGACCGAGTTTTGGACCACCTATTTTTTGGGTTTTTACCCCATTTTTTGTACCTGTCCTAATCTAAACATATAATTACAAGAAAAATAAAAGGGACAAGGGCTTATGCCCATTACAAGAAAATACAAAATGTAAAGTAAGGAGGTTTTCTAATCCATTTTGGATTTCTTCAATACTCCAAACTTCGGCATCTCTTCGTCGGTTTCAAGGCTTGACTCGATGAAGGAAATTTGCGAGTCTTTACGACTCGTCTCGAAATGCAAAGAGGTATGAAGTCCGGGGGAACTCAAGCGGATTTTTGCATGCAAGGAACAGAAAAAACGGATTAGCATACAAGGTGATAACATAACCAAGCAAATTGAGATAGAGAATTCCAGTAAACAAACGAAAACAAACTCTCTAAATCTGGTAAACAAAACATCAATGCAATAACATTATATGAGTATGCTTTTACGAATCTCTCATTCCCAAGAAACAAATGGGGCAACCACGTCATGGTATAACAGACTTCAAACATGCAATAAACTCAAACAAGAATGGCAAGAACGACATGAGGGTCAATTTCTTCATAGAGGGTTAAACACAAACTTCAAGTGAGGGTAAAAATGCATCATTAATTAGATGTTTTAAGCCTTGTCTACTTGCCAAAATCATTAAAGAAAAAGGAGCATCAACACATTCCTTAGCACAGTTATAGATATTCTGAGCGGCATTGGAAACAAGTTTGAGTCGTCTTTCAAAGGAAATCAAGTCAATCCATAATAAACATCTAACTCAAATAAAAGCAACTAGACAGGACTGAACAGCAGAGTACATGCTCTAACAACAAACTCAATGCATGCTTACACATAATTTATATCACAGGCCACAAATCTAAGTAAAAAAAATGAACCAAACGACCAAGAACAACAGAAACGGAGAAACTCTAGACGAACTCAGGTCAAGGGTGTTGAAGGCTTTAAACTCCCTCAAGATTCGCCTAACTTTAAGAAGATTTTCACTGTCATACTCACAATTAATCATATTGAATCTAACAGATAAACAACTATGCTTAACAGTTAACAATTGTAGCACCCACACCATGTAACATCGATTTCTCAGCAACAAACGAATCAGCAGGCATAACTGAATAAAATCATACCCCCAATACATCTCAAGAAAAGAGAAATAGCGGCCAAACAACTGCATATCGCAATGCTACCCACCAGACTCATGTGACGAATATTATTTCTTATTCAAAAACCATTTCCTGACATAACATTGCGAGAACTCGACAAGAGAGAAAGCAGAAACAACTCAAAGAATAACATATCGGTGCAACACGACCAAACGGAAAATCGCCATATACATCATATTCAGGGAAGACCAAATAACTAAATACATTCATAACTGGGCATGATCGAAAAGGGAAGAAGATTACCTGTTCGAGAGCAGCGACTGGAACGATGGCGAGCAGCAACGAACGACGGCTTCCACCTCGAACCTAGTATTTCGAACAAGTGCTTGATGTCATACTCGAAACTGAAACGAAGGCTCTGTTTCGAATCCCTTATACTAACAGCTCTAAAAGAAAACAAAAACGAAGAGGGAGACACACTTTCGGCTCTGAGAACACTAATCCTCCCCTTTCGTAGCTTCACTCACCCTTCTCTTATACTCCCACCCTCCGTTCTACTGAAGCAAACAGGTAAGGACAGAGAAATCTTTTTTCTCAAAGCTCGTCTCAACCCTTTATGATATAACTCTCCAAAATTCCCAAAAAAAAATCGTCCAACCCAAAAGAAAACTAACCCCCAAAACTCCCAAAATCTCCACAATTTTCGTAACCAACAGTAAGCTAAAGACTTTCAGTTTCCTTAAAAAAATGCAACTGCAAACAAAGAAAGAGCCCAAGATTTCCCGAAAATTTTCCCAAAATTCTCCCAACCCCTATTCTGAAAACGGAGGGGGTTTATATAGAGGGACGCTAGGGTTTCGAGGGGAGCGGGTTGGAGGGACGACTTGAGGCCCATTTCGATTTGAAATTCGAATTTCCTTCGAATCTAAGGGAATATGCCCTTTAGATGCCAATAATGCAACGGACTGGAAGCAATGTGGAGGGTCGAGATTGTCTCTTCGTCCTTGCTAGCTTCGTGGCGCCATCTCGTGCTATCAAGGACGAAGAAGGACGATTCCAGGCTGGTGAGGCGTCGCAGAGCTGTACGAGTGCGAAGGGGGAGAGAAGAGGAGAGAGGGACGCGATTTCTTGGGAACGCGTGGGAGGAAGACGTGAGAAGGGAGATGAGACAAGGCTGGGCGTCCGCTTCGCGTGGAGGAAGGGGTCGCGTGGGCGTTCTGGGGGGAAGCGTTTCTGTTTTTTTTATTTTTCTTTTGCTGGGATTCTGGCGTTTCTCTGTTTAGGGGGGGGGATCGTGTGAGGGTGCTGGGAGAAGAAGGGAAGGGGAGACGCGGGTCGGGTCGGTCGGGAACGGGGCGGGTTTATTGGGTTTGGTTTATTATTGGGTTGGTGGGTTGGGTAGGAAATAAAGGTGGGATGGGCCGCTCTTAATTTGGAGTTGGGAAAATTGGGCCTGGTATAGAGGAAAGAAAGTGGGCTGAAAGAGTTTGGGCCGTCTGAAGTCTTTAGGATGGAAGAGGGGGTTTTGGGCTGGGATAGTTGAAGAGTAGAGGGTGGGCTTGAATGGAAGGGGATAACAAGGGAAGTTGGGCCGCCTGTAAATTGAATGGGAAGCCCAAATCTGGTACTTCATGGCCAATTTTAGTTAAATGAAAACAAAATTTAAAAATTGGCTAATCCTTAAATAAAAAATGAACTTGTATTAATTAATCAACGAGCTCCCTTTTTGTAAAATAATTATTAAAATCACAAAAAGTAATTCAAAAGCATAATTATAATTTAAATTAAACTAGTTTAATAAAGCATATAAAATGTATATTTTGATGGTTTTGAATAATCATAAAACATACAAACTATATACATAATTACGTAACATATATATACTATCTAAAGTTATGATAAGTAGCATAAAATCCATGTACTATATATATATATATATATATATATATATATATATATATATATATATATAATTCTTTTATTTTATTATTATTACTATTTTTTTTAAATTTTAACAAGATTTATAAAACTAATTAACTTAAATAGTTTGGAAAATTCACGAAGCTCGATAATTAATTTATACCGGCGTGGGTCAAAAATTGGGTGTCAACAGTATGCTCAAATAACATTATTATTGATTTATTCACCAAGTCTCTATCAACTACAACTTTCAAGAAGATGATGCACAAGCTTGAAAAACGAAGATTCTAGTCTCTTAATTGATGTTGTCATTAGGGAGAGTTAATACGCGATGTACTCTTTTTTTCTCACAAGGTTTTGTCCCACTGGGTTTTCCTTATAAGGTTTTTAATGAGGCATCCATAATGCGTATTATTAGATATGTGTACTCTTTTTCCTTCACTAGATTTTTTCCCACTGGGTTTTATCTAGTAAGGTTTTAACGAGGCACATAATCTACCGACATTCAAGGGGGAGTGTTATAAACATATTTGTGTTATAGTGAATGTCTAATTATGTGGAGTCCTTGTAGGTGATAAAACATCTACGAATCCTGAATATACTTCAAGAGAAATAGAAGTCTTTTCTCTTTTCCCTACTTTCTTCTTCTTCTAAATTTATGTAGTTTCATAACAAATATAATTTTTTATCTTTCCCTAACATCTAAAATTTGCTCTAGAATTTATATAGAAAAAAGTTCATCTACTTCAATGCAACTTTAATCATTAATCATGAAAAGACAAGTTCCGCAAAATCTGCTTAGTTCCACGAGAAGCATAAACATTATTTACGAATTCAATACAATATTATTCATTATTTTATTTTTTAAATCAAATATAGTATTTTTATTCGCTAAATTTGTTTATTTTTATCAAATTTATTTACTAATCAAATTGATCAATAAAGTAATAATGTTCGTCTTCTTTAGTCATATGAAAAAGAGAAATATGCACAAGTTTTTCTCTATATTATGATTGAAATTCAACATGAAAAAGTGGTTCATATTACGTGAAAACTATATTAAAGACTATTATACCATAACTTATTTATGTTTAATTTTTTTTTATTGAATTAAAGTTTGACCAATATTTCTTATTCTTTTCTAAAAAATATCTTTTTGATAGTGCATCATGAGATTTTATAAATTTTTATTTATTTAGTAAGATTATATAAGAAATTCAAATAATTTTAGTAATTTTATGTCCAAACAAGACGTTAACTTCATTTCATGATTTCGTCTAATGATTTCAAATTGCATGGCCTAGCAGGCCCTAAGTAAGATTACCGTTCTACCGTTATTTAATATTTTCTAAAGTTAAGTTTTCAATCTATAGGCATGAATTAATTTATTTTGATTAATTAATTTAACCAACACACATGAATTATTTATATAATTTTTTTTGTTAATCAAATATATATTTTTAAGACTAATAAATTGTAAGTGTAAAATAGAAAAAATAATAATAACATTTATGCATTAATTTTATAAAATAATAACTATAAAAAATTATTTATTTTTAATAAAAATGTCATATAAATAAAAATAAATCAATTATCCTTATGTGAAATTACAAGAAATATATTTGATCTTGACAAAATTGTGTCTATGATATGGTTTTCTTATTTACCGTTATGGTAAGATTTTGCTATCAGAAATGCACGTTAAAAGTTGAACAAAGTCGTCACAGATACCGACAACTCGAGAAAAGAAAAAGAAAAGGGAAAAAAATATGGAACTAAAGCTTTCAGTACTAATTACAGAGTGAAGCCAACGACAAGTCCCACCTCCCACCCCCACCCCCTCGCATAGAGTGAGGATTTCTGAGCTCAAAAATGGCGAAGGACACTTTTAGATATGAAATTTACTCTTTAAGGATTTCGTTGTTTGGGGTTTTAGGTCCTCATTTGATAGCTGATGCAAGTTGTTTTTGCTTGTAGTGTTGTTTGTACTGCTACTTTTCGATCTAGCTGTTAGTTTGTTCAATTTCTTCAGATCCGAACGGTGTTTGTTTTCATTGGCGTCAAGTGATGTTGGACTTGTCAAAGCTACTGTTCTTCCCGTGTTGTGCTAGTGAGTTCTTTTGCTTCTCTAGGTTTTAAGCTGTATTTTAGTTTTTATTATTCTGTTCTGGTTGCTGCTGCAGTAGTAATTCCGTATAAATTGTGTAATGGGAACTGTTTATTGATGCCTTTTCGAATGAATTTTAGTTTCTTACTGATTTTGTTGGTGATTTAGGGTTAATTAGTAGAAAATTGTTCTGTGTTTGTCAAATTTTGGGAGTGTTAAAATTGCACTTGAAAGCTTGAGGATAAATGATCCCTGGTTTCTATTTTTGTAACCAGTAGTTGGAATCTAGTATTTCTTCTTTGAATTGTGAGCTGGCAATGTGAAAGAAGAGACCAGGAGGGGTTGCTCGACGGTAAACACCCTCCACCTCCAACCGAAAGTTGTGAGAACCAAAATGATGGGAGCTCCTAGTTGAGGGCGTAAAAGAAAGCGAAAGAAAGAAGAATCTCATTAGTCATTAGATTGAGTATATTCATGTGCAAAAGGAAATTACCTGTTGGAGCAGATTTGAAGGAAAAATAGCAGCTGGTCATAGTTTAGAATACTAATGCCAGTACTGTCACAAATCTCTAAGGAACCAAGAAAAGGAATGGCTCCTGAACAGGAATTGCAGGGAAAGATAAAGAGAAGAAGCTAGAGAGAGGCATATTGATACTACTTCACATTAATCCCCAATGTACAAGTCCCCTTAGTTTATACTACAATCAAACAGCTAAACTGCTAACTGACTTAATCCCCTATAACGAATTAACTGATATGTTGTTACATTTATAGGGCATGACAATTACAAGTACACCCCTCAATACTGACTACTCATCTCGGATTTGAAATGAATATAACATATATAAAGTGGAAAATGTATACAAAGTGAATATATTGATAGCATTTCTCAACTCCTCACAGACTTAGGTTGAATATCTTCTGCATATACTTTTTATACGCCCACATTATCTTGATGTTGGTTTCAGTATTAATGATGTCCTTAATTTTAGTAGGAGAAAGTGATGCAAAATTAGTTACTTCTCAGTTTTAAAACAGTGTCTCATAGAATTGAAGGTTTAAACAGTGTGATTCTTTTGAGAAGGTTAGAACATTGTCGCACTTCCTTCCAGTTAACATTGTCGCACTTCCTTCCAATTATAAACAAACAGATATTAAGGCCTATATGTTTGTAGATTTGTCTGGAACCTCAATGGATTGTGCAGGGTATTACCCTTCTTCATTAAGACTTGCTTTGCCGTAATTTTCTTGACTTGTTTCTCATCCACCACGTAAACACTTTAGTGGGGCCATCTCCATTTTTCACCTTTGCCTTAATCTCTTTTTTCTTTTTGAGGATGTTTGAGACAATCGTTTATTTCTTCCTTTTAGATGCAAACTCTAAAAGTTAGAATGGAGTAAATATATGTGACCAACTTGACTATTTCATCTCTGATATATGTTTTTTGGTTGTATTGGTGTTGTTTCTGCTGCAATCTCTGCTCATTATTCAAAATTATGTTGGTGTTAACTTCATTTGTCTCACTTCTTGTTAAAATGAATTTCAGGGTTATCAAAGAGGGGCCAGTCTTTGAAGCTGAAGAATTTAACCATTTTATTTTTTTTCTTGTGCATCACTAATGCTGAGTTGCCTGATGAGCCATTTGAGCAACAACCTGTTACTCCAGTCAATAAACCTGTTGAAGCACCTGGCCTACCTGATCTGCCCCTGCCAGCGAATGTACCTGGTTTTCATAGACAGCATAGGAAACATTCTCCTCATGGTGCGCCATGGCTTGGGCTAGCTCCAGCTCAGCCTCCTGATTACGGTCCTTTAGTAACTGCTGCGCACGCTCCTTCCAGTTCCAGCTTGTCGAAGCCATCAATGAAGAAAAATGGATTGGTGCCTCCTAGTGCTGGCCTTGCACCCCCTCAATCCAGTCCTAGTACTCTACCCACTGGTTTGGTTCAGCCACCACTTTCTCCTCACACTTCCAGTAAGAATCTTTCTTCTTAATAAATTTCGACGGATGCCTGCTGCAGCCTAGCTTATATATGTATTATTTCTTCAATTCTCACAAAAAAGACCCAGGGGGAGAGCAGCAGGCAGTAATAGATACGAGGATCATAATTTTGGGGTTATACATTATAATATATAGGGAAGGAAAGCTTCATGAGTGGAAACTACATAAATAGTACCATTAACTATTTGATTTTAGAAATAAAGAGTGGTTGGATTTGTCTTTGAAATTGGTACCAGAATCGGTTTTGTATGTACTGGCCTTTGGTTTTGTTTCTGGAAACAATTGTGAGTGATTGGATGTATGTTCTGGAAGAGTTGGGTTCAAAAAGTGATGGTGTTTGGATTTATTTTTTCCAGAATCTATGAATTATAAATTTTCAAAACCAAACTCTCAAGCTGAAGATATTTTACACTTCCATATGGTTAGAAATCACTATATAAATCAGCTATATTTCTTAAATTGCTGCCAAGCTAACCTACGAATAGGCGAAAAATCATAGAACACTACTTTCTCTCTAGGAGGTATAACAAAAAAGTGAGTGGGGTGGGGGGTGGTCATGGGGACAGTTCATAAATCTAAAAAATGTTTGGTACCGTACTGAAATGCAAGGACCTGAATGAAAAAGAGGGCATAGTTTGTTGAGAAATCAGAATTCCTTGTTGGTTTTGTTTTGAAAAGCTGATTTCCAAAAACGACTATTAAAAAGTGTTTGATACTGAAGTGCAAGGACCTGAATGAAAAAAAGGGCATAGTTTAATGTTGAGAAATCAGAATCCATTGTTGGTTTTGTTCGGAAAAGCTGATTTGCAAAAACTACTGCTGGTTTCCAAAATGGTTTTATACCCAAACAACAATAGTGTTTGGTTTACAATATGGTGCCTGCTGCCATCTTTTGGTGCATCTAGAATGAAAGGAATCATAGATGTTTTGAGTACTCAGCTCCTAACCACATTCTTAAATCCAACTCTTTGGTTATCTTGCGTAGGCAGCGTAGCTGGTTCATCCAGGCCCCTGTAACTACTGTTGATTTTTCTCGGACTATGTCTGCTCTTTAGTATTTAGTAAGTTCGTGTACAGGAGCAGACACCTTGTTTTGCTGTAATTTTTTGCCATGCATCTTTTTGATGCCTTCTAATGAAATTCACTTACTTCATTAAAAAAGAAAACAGAAGTGTGATATTTCAAATATATTCCCACTGGTAGAACTTACAGGACACACTTAAATACTGACTCATTGGCTAACTATCCTTTGGCGTGGCTAAATTCAAACGTATGTAAAAATCAAAACCCATCTCTTTATAATATATCAGTGAAGTTGTCGCTCTTCTCCCTCTCCCATGAAGATATATCTCCACATTTATGTACATTTTTTTCTTTCTTATTTCAGCAGACTGTTGTGGACAAGATATGGTGCTCAAACGAGGAAGCCTGGACTGCGAGTGTGTTTACCCGTTAAAGATTGACCTTCTTCTCTTGAATGTCTCATCAAATCCTAATTGGAAACTTTTTCTAAATGAATTTGCTTCACAGCTAGGTTTAAAGGTGTCTCAAATTGAGCTGATTAACTTTTATATGGTGGATCTTTCAAAGCTAAATATATCCATGGATATCACACCATACAAGGGAGTTAGCTTATCATCTGATGAAGCTTCAGCTGTAAACGCTTCATTATCAATGCATAAGATCCAACTAGACCCAACACTAGTGGGTGGATACCAATTGCTCAACATTACCTTGTTTAAGCCACCAGTTTCATCACAAGGTACTTGCTTCTGGTTATATTTCATGCCTGATATGCAGATAATTTCTTCTAGCATTGGCTGATACGGGGGTCGGGATCGGGGTGGGGGTGGGTGGATTTTATTGACCTCTTAATTCAAAGATCTTTTCATATTTCTTGAATAACTTTTTCTTTGATATGCAGCTCCTCGTTCTGCTATGTCACCAGTTTTAGCAGCTCCGCATCTTCCTTCAGCTCCTGCAGTAACAGTATCTTCACACAAAGGGAGACATCCGAGTTTAATTCTTATTGTTGGGATTGTTGCTGGCATCTTAATCATCACTATCATATCAACACTCTTTATTTGTTTCTGTGGATCTAATCATGGACAGAAGAAAGGCTCCCACAAAGAAGCTGGTAAGTGATCCTGTATATTCCGTGGACTTAGAAAACTATCCTGGATTTGAACCGTCTTCTTCTTAAAGTTCCACCCGCTAGGAAGTGAAATTTAGTTAGAAAATTATCCTGGATTTGGACTGTCTTCTTCTTAAAGTTCCACCCGCTAGGAAGTGAAATTTAGTTACTGAGGAGAAGAAACAACAAGGCTGAAAAAGGATCTCCCTTGTAAATTAGGACTAGTGTTACTTGAGGATTAGTAGAAGCTTGATCAATAACTCTAGCAAACTTCTACTTCTGGTCAAATAAGACGAAGAAAAAAGTCTGTAGAACGTCTTCATTGATCTTTCATTCAGAAGTAATGTTATTTATGAGTTTCTCCCCATCTGTGAAACTTTGGGTTGCATATGGCATCATGAGCTCTCATAATTTCCTGTCTACGAGCTACTTATATGGTTATTCTACTTGAACACTGATGGCTTAAACCCACAATACTGGTGTTATTTAACAACTACGATACTTTACTTGTCTATCAGTTATCTTTAAACCAAAATATCGTTGACTGCTGATAATAATGGAGAAACTGGAACTCCATAGAGCTATTTTTCTGCTAACCAGAAATATTTTTGTTGGGTTTTTTTATGCACGATATTGAAACTATAAATGAGATGTTTCTGTTTTTCTCTTTGCACCATCTAGCCTTATAAACTTTCATTTGTATTTCAATTTCTTGATAGAAAAACCAATGCGTGTAGAGACTGTTCCTGCTCAGGGATCATTTCCCCATCCAACTAGTACACGGTTTCTTCCATATGAAGAACTGAAAGAAGCTACAAATAACTTTGCACCAGCTAGTATACTTGGAGAGGGCGGCTTTGGCAGAGTTTACAAGGGCGTGCTTAGTGATGGTACTGCTGTTGCAATAAAAAGACTTACTAGTGGAGGCCAACAAGGAGGTAAAGAGTTCCTAGTTGAGGTTGAGATGCTTAGTAGGCTGCATCACCGTAATCTTGTGAAGCTTGTTGGTTACTATAGCAGTCGGGAGTCCTCACAGAACCTACTATGTTATGAGCTTGTTTCAAATGGAAGTTTAGAGGCTTGGCTTCATGGTAAGTTTTTTTTTTGTGACTTTATCCTTTGTCAACTTAACAAACTAAAGAGCAACAGCATCTGTCTTCCTATTTTAATTTGTAATTTGCTTATCTGGTAGGAAGTCATATAAAGGAAAGGTATCTCAACTGTAACGTGTTCAGCGTTCCTTATATAGCTTGTCTATTGCAGATGCAAATAAATATGAATTCTCACATATGTTGTACAAAGTCTCGAAAGTCATTTTAATGGTGCTAATCTATTCTACCATCACCCTGAAACTTGGAGTAGATATTGAGATTCTATAATGCGGTATTAGAGTATGTAGAGATCCTTCAAGTGTCATCCCTCATAAAAAATGAATTTGCGTTTCTTGGGCCCAGAAGAAAAATCAGGGCTGCGTCTGAGGAGGAGGTGTTGAAAAGTTTAAGCGGAAGTTGAAGTGTCTTGTTTCTGACTGTTTAAGTTTCTAGACAAGATGGTCACACCAAGCAGTGTTGTGACCTATTCAACTTATCAAGTAGTTTAACTAGTGCACTTGCTACCGTTATTAAAAACAATGTAGTTTAGCAATTGCACTCTCTTGCTGCAGGCCACTTAGGATTAAATTGCCCTCTGGATTGGGACACAAGAATGAAAATTGCGCTTGATGCAGCGAGAGGACTTGCATACTTGCACGAAGATTCTCAACCTTGTGTTATTCATAGAGATTTTAAGGCATCAAATATATTGCTCGAGAACAACTTTCATGCTAAAGTTGCTGATTTTGGCCTTGCAAAACAGGCCCCAGAAGGCCAGGCTAATTACCTCTCAACTCGTGTTATGGGCACATTTGGGTTAGTGTTTCTTTGTTATCACATGCTTCTGTAAGATATGACATTGACTAATGTGGGAAGCATTTCTTTGCAGGTATGTAGCCCCTGAATATGCCATGACTGGGCATCTACTGGTAAAAAGTGATGTGTACAGCTATGGGGTTGTCCTCCTTGAACTGTTGACAGGAAGGAGGCCTGTAGATATGGCACAACCGTCAGGGCAGGAGAATCTTGTCACTTGGGTAAGTAACTGCTGTTGGGACTTACTTTCTTGTACTAATACATTTCTTACTTCAGATCATACTAGTGTAATTGTGCATTTACTGATCTTCAGAATTCAAGTCTCTATTTGTTCCCTTTTTGGTTGCTTCACAAAATTAGAAACTTATTTTGTCATTGGATGAAAAAGTAAAAAGAAAGTGCTCTATTTTGTTTTCAGGCCAGACCAATACTTAGAGACAAGGATCGTTTGGAAGAACTTGCTGATCCAAGACTTGAGGGGAAGTACCCAAAGGAGGATTTTGTGCGGGTTTGCACAATTGCAGCGGCTTGTGTTGCTCCTGAAGCTAGCCAAAGGCCTACAATGGGAGAAGTGGTTCAATCGCTCAAAATGGTTCAGCGAGTAACAGAGTACCAGGATACTACTACTATAAATTCAGGTGCTCGACCTAACTTAAGACAGTCATCTACAACCTTTGAATCAGATGGTACCTCTTCTATGTTCTCTTCTGGTCCTTACTCTGGTTTGAGTGTCTTCGAGAATGACGTTTCTAGGGCAGCTGTATTCTCAGAAGATCTTCATGAAGGAAGATGAACATTGTTGGTGGAAGGCCTTCCAATGCTCTGATCTTTCCATCATAATGCAGCAGAAGGGGAGAATTCGAAAGTGGGTTGGCAGAAGTGAGACAGACCCTGCACAGTGGATCTGCCAATGCTTTGGAGAATCTATTGGTTTCTTTCATCCCCTGTAGAGATCCCACTGTTCAATTTTCCCTGTATGGCCATTCTCTACTTGTTGGATGAGAGCCTGTATATATGTAATGGGTTGATATTTGAGGACAGTGGTTCAGTTGAAGTGGGATAAAAGTTGAATTTCTTCTCTTTTTTTTTATCTGTCTGACGCCCCTATTGGCTTGTTGTAAATTCCTCTTGCTTATCATTGATTCTCCTTACACTATCGTGGTTAGCTAAGCAAAACTTAACTGGATAAGTTTAGGGTGTAAGTGAGAACCCTGTGTGGGTGGGGGGGGGGGGGTTCGATTGAACCATAACTTTCAATAAAATAATAGTAAATATAAATTCATAATTTTGAAATATAACATGTTCAATATTACTGAATTCATAAAATTCAAATATTGAATTAGGCTCGAGTCAAACTCCAGAGGAACTACACCTTCAAGTGAGGGTGATTCTTTGAAGAAGCCAATTTTAAATACTACATATGTTTTTATTTATTTTTCTGTTTTGCCGTTCTAAAAAAGAAAATATTTTTTTAGAGCAATTCTTTAATTTAATTTTATTTGTATAACATATAGTAAAACTCACCAAACACTTTTCTATGTTTTACATATATTTGATTATTATTTTAATAAAAGAAATCTATAAATCTTTAGCTTAACATCATCAAATTCAAAAAAATTCTTTAATTTTTTAAATTCTAAAATTGTCCAAAATTAAATAAATAAATTAAAAAGACCGAATATTGTTAATATTATGTAAAGTGGGCCAAAGGGGCAAATAGTAGTAAAAATTAGTTTAAACATTTTTTCCCTTCAACAGAAGATCTCTTAATTAAAAAGATAAATTTGCACTATTTGTTACATCATTAGTTCTTATTTACTCGTATTTATATCTTTGAAAAATACAGTGCATAAATATGTTAAAGACTTTATTAATTAAAAAAATAACATAATAAATTTAATATATTTATAATTTTTTTTTAAATGTGTCAAATCAAAGTTTCATGAGTAAAAAAGGATTAAGAAAGTAGCGTATATATATACACTATATTTCTTAACAAGGAATATATATGTTTCAAAGTGAGGGAGGGCTTTCAAGTATAAAATGATGTTTACTTTGTTTAGCAAATTGAGGTATTGTTGCCCAAGAAAGTGAACACGTGCGTATAAGTAAAGATTGTGAGCTGTTGGGTTCAAAATTTAATAACATAAAGAAAATACTAGATAATTTTTTTTATATATTTTAATATTGTATATCTTCTTCGTTTAAAAAAAAATCCTATTTCTTTTTTAGTCTGTTTAAAAAAGAACGATCTATTTTTTTTATTAGCAACAATTTAACTTTAACTTTTCACGTGACATGTTCAAGACCACAAGATAAAAAGACATTTTGATACATTTAATATAACTTTAATTTAGAACCACAAGATTAAAAATTCTTGTTTCTTTTCTTAAACTCCGTTTTAAGTCAAATTAGACCATCTTGAAGAGAGTAATTATTAATAAAAAATAAAAAATATTTCATAAAATTAGTTTGAGATGCACTAAAGCTAACTTGATACGATAAAGATTGTGAATTGTTGTGTTCACAATCAATTTAATAACATAAAAATACGCTAGATAATATTGTTCATATATTTTAATATCGTAATTATTAATAAAAAGTTAAAAATATTTTATAAAATCAGTTGAGATGCGCAAAAGCTAGCTCGATACGGTAAAGAAGTAAAGATGATGCTGTGGTGAGGGGCAGGGAGAGTGCAGTGTGATGAAATGGTGAGAAGGAGAAAGGGAAAAAATAATAATGAATTATCGAGTCCGGATTTGCGAAGGCAAAAACAAATAGAAATTGGAGTCCAACAAGACAATATTTTCACACAGGTTTGAGAGAGAAAGAGAGACAGTGTGGGGTGCGGGGGGTGGGGGGTACGGGGGTGGGGTTAAGGGGGTGAGTAAGAATAGGAAAGGCAAAAATGGAGAAGATATTGAGAGTCTTCTTTGGCTATAACGCTACCAACGACACCCTTCACTTCTCTAACCCTAATAATATACTCACCCAAAATCCCTTCTTTTTCTCTCTCTCTATCTCTATCAATCTCCTATATTTTTCCTACTCTTTATTTCAATTTCATCTCTGCTGTTCGCCGTTGCTGCTGCTCGGTTCTCTGCCATTCTCAAGGTATTTGATTTGATTATTGGTTTTCGTTTTTTTTTTTTATAATGAATTGGAACGATGTATGATTTAATTGTTCGGTAGCAGTTGATTCTAATTGGTTGGTTCATCTGTTTTGACAATGTTTTCTGCTTTGCTCCCTCCAATGGGTTTCTTTTTTGCTAATTCAAGTTTTGAGCAAAACAATTAGTTATTTTGTTGCTATTTGGTTATATGAACCGTCTATATATATCTATTCAACTCCATTCAAGTGTGGGCTATTTTTTTTCAATTATTTAGAGGATTCATGGTAGTTTGGCTAAAGATGATTTACCCCAACTCTTGTGTATTCCAACAACAACAAAAAACGACATACCCGGTGTAATTCAATTAGGTGGCATGTGGGGAGGATGTACGTAGAGAGGTTGTTTCCGGAATACCTTTGGTTCAAGTAATTCATAACAAAGTAATGTTAAAAATTAGCATACAAATGCTAAGCATTTATAACAAATTATAACGGATCATTACATTAGCGTTTAGAAAAAGGAATAGTAACAATATATAGTCGAAGAAATCAAAGGGCAAGAAATTACAACATTAGTACTAATGCTATTGTAATGCATAGAAGAAGTACTCAACTACCTACTAACTAACCTTCTACTCTAATCCTCAATTCCATGTCCTGTCTTATCACCTCAACCCAGTACTTATTTGCCCAACCTTTACCTCTCTTTAACCCTGACACTGCCAACCTCCTGCACCTCCTTATTGGGGCATCACGTATCTCCTCTTCACATGACTAAACCATCTCTCTCACACTTACCTCTTCTTGTCCCCAATGAAGGTCACTCCCACTTCTTCACGGGTATCATCATTCCTAATCTAAGTTTTCCAGACTCTTCACTTTTGGTGTGAGTCGAACCAGTTCCTATTCTTTGAACAACATAGTTCCTATTCTTGTCTCTCCTAGCATCCCACGCATCCACCTTAACATCCTCATTTTCACACCTCTCATCTTCTGAGGTTTCTTAAGTAACCAATACTCTGCCCATACAAGATAGTTGGCCTAAATACCACTCTGCGGAACTTGCCTCTTAAGTCCATTAATCATACTAAAAATCCTATGACATCTTGTTAAAGGATTTGTCTTTGCACGTAGGTGGAGTTTTCTAAGGCTATTAAAACATTCCTTAAAGTTCTATGACATTTTATTGATACTTTCCTTTTATCGAGGGTACATTCTCCTGTATTGTGGAGATTTTGGATATTCAAATTGATTACAGTCATGTTTCTTAGTTATTGTTAAATGCATGGATCAATATTGTATCAAGATGATAGTTTCCCTTGCCGTTTTGTTTGTTGCTTGATATTTTGAATTTCATGTGATGTTAAAAAAGGGTGATAGTGAGACGGTCTAGGTAGTGGGTTAGTGGATTCATGTCTACTACATGTATGGATTTTGCATCCCCTGGACGCATCTTATGATAAATTAAATGTTTAATGTAAGGAACTTCTTGTTAAATTGTTTTTACTTAATTGATGTTTCTCTACATAAATGAATTAACTAATAAATGATATATCTTTGAATTCTTGCAGTTTCCTGTTTGGTGCAACAATGAACAAACTCATTTAGCAAGTTGTCTTTTTGCCGCGATTAATACACGTGTTCCTGGTGGCCCTAGTTGTTTTACATGTCATGGATGAGTCTGGTGGAACTCGATTTGAAGGGCTCAATGCTACTGTTAGAAAGAAAAGAAGCCTAATGTTGCGGCGACCTAGACCAGAGAAGCCTTTTTTTCATGAAGGCCGTGATCAGTCTCCCTTAACACCAGTTTCAGATGATTTTGGTAGGGTTTCTAGTGATGAGAACATTGATGATGCCAATGCTGGACGTAAAATGTTCAACCTTAATCATTGCATGTCTAGAGGCTCTGTTTCCAGAGTGGATGAGGACTACACTTTTAAGAAGAATAAGGATGGAGGATCTAGTCTGTTATATAGTAATGGAGATCCAGGAGATGATACATATTCCCAGTATGGCTCCTCTCTTAGGCAAACAGGAACTGTGCAGGATGGTGTTGGCAATGATAACAAGCTGAAGAAGGTTAAGCTTAAAGTTGGGGGTGTGACGCGCACCATTCAAACCAAAACTGATTCTCATGGTGCATATGGTGGTGGTTTGTCTACAAATGCACGAGCCTTGGATGGTTCGCAGCCACGTCAGAAATCTACTTCACAGGTTTATCAGTGTTTCTTCTCAAGTAGTTAGTTATTTAGATTCTTTAAATCCACTTGGATTTTGAGTTTGTGTTCTTTAAAGTAGTCTCCCTTAAGAATTATTTGGTTTCATTATTTTGAAAAGGAGGTGAACTGCACGAGATTTTCTGTGTCACTGCTCTACTGGTTCCTCTCTAACGTACTTTAAAAACTCAGAAGGAAAACATGTAGATAGATGTTGCATTATCATAGGTTTATTACGGAACAGAATATTGAAGTGCATAAGAATCAAAGATTAAGAATAAGATAAAAATTACTCAGTTTAGCCCCAAAGTATTAGCTAGGAATTTGCACTTGTGGCAGAAAACCAGCGGTTTTAGGTCAACCCTGTGCCTTATGTTGGATACAGTTTTGGATACTAATGCCAAACTCCCGATGATGCAAATTGTGATTAATTGCGATTTACCAAAGAAAGAAATCTACTTCTATTGCTAGTAAATTTTCGGCATTTATTTTTTTTGTCCTATTATCACTGTAATAAAATTTCAATGCTGTCCAATTAACCTTTTCCTCTCTATTTAAGGACACATCAAGCAAAGACGGTCTTTCGGAAAAGAAAAGTGGGTTGCAAGGAATTATGTCAAGAGATTCGCCCAAGGGTTCTTTTGCTGCTGGCAAAGGAGGCGATATGGGGAAGATGCCAATGACGAATGCCTTTGAAAAAGGAGGTGACAAATCAGATCCGACCCGTAAGAGTAAGAGGGTTCCAAAGAGGCGTGTATCGGAATGGTTTGATGAGGATGGGGAAGATGATGAGATTCGATACTT